TTAGAAAGGTAATTCTAAGGCTATGGAACACAAATGGTTCAAGCTTCAGAAGGAAATGTCTTCCTTTTGGAAAAAAGGTCATCCGTGTCAAGGCTCTATAGGGGAGGAAAAGATTTATGGATCCCTTTCTTCTTTGGATGCCAGAGTTATTGAAATCAAGTCCTCCCTAGAGGCCGATAGGAAGAACCATATGGAAATAGCCACTCCTCATGTTGAGGCAAAGTCCTGTTTTAATGAGGCTTTGAAAGGTCTTCGGGAAGAGAAGGAATCTCAAGATAAATAACAGAAGACTCACAATGATCAGGTGGTTGAGGTAAGAAAGAAGGTTAATGAGTCACTCTAGAAAACTTTAAAAATGTGTACGGGGCCTTTGACTAGAAAGTTGAACAGGTGGAAAAGCTTCACTCAGACACCTCTTTTCCCAGCTCGGAACTAAACTCATTCAAGGTTGTTAGAGATGGGGCTTTGGTGGATAACCTTGGTGCAACGTCTCAAGGCGAGGAGGCTTGACCTTCCTTCTTTTTATTTTATCTTTAATATAGTAGGGTGTTGTGCCTTTGTAGGAATATAATAGTATTTATATATTTTACCTTTTTGTTTCATGCTTCTATTTATATTTTTGTGTATGACACAATTTTGTTAATTTCTTCATGGTATTTCTACTTTATCATATTAGTCGTCGACTTCTAGGATTCGAACTAGTTCTTGATTTTTTCCCATGTTATATTCGAATATGATTCTCTATGCGAATGGGAATTTGTCAACTTAGCAATATCCTCGTCGAATCTTTAAAGTCGTTTTTGGCCAGTTTTGCTGATGGCAATTGGCATGTTCGCAGAACTCGACGGTCCCGATCAGTGTGAATTGGAACGATAATTAAGTATGGCTATTGCTAGCTTCGGTTGGGAAGAGTTGATGTTATTCTCCAACATCATTAAGAATTGTCCCTAACCAAAGGTAGGGTTCCTCTCCCTGCCCCCAGGTTTGTTCTGGTTCGAGGAAGATGTCTTCAGGCTCCACTCCCTACTCTCTTGGAAAGGCTAATTCCTAAGAGGGGTGCGCCAACTGCTCCTTAAGCACGTTCACCAAGTGAGGGGCTTGACTCAGAAGCATGGTTTATGCCATACTTTTGAGGGTTACAATATCACTTTCACTTGATATATTTCTCATGGTTAGTAAATTATTTATTCAAATTTCAAAGAGTTATGAAAAATACTTATTTTGCTACGAGATCTGCAAAGAAAGCATGTACCACCTGTCTTTGGTCCTCCCTCGATTTACTAAGTAGCTAAAGGGTGTTGATATGGATCCTTCAGGTGCTTAAATCTTACAAGTTCACGATCTACCGTCTATTGGTCAATTTACCTTTAAATTAATATATTTCTTGGTAGGTTGCATATGTTATTCTCGTTTCTGACTAACTAGCGTCAGCCACCATCTTTTAAGTTTGGTGCCTCCACGTACCCTCGCTCAAGGGATCCTGTCATGCTTCCAATATATTTTTGGTTGACTTACTTGCTCATGAACGGCGTTTATTCCTTATCATGTCTGAATATACATACTAGGTCACATTTGGGCAGGTGCTTCACGGTTGACGCCGATATGCAGTCAACTGAGTTTTTTATCCACTTCTTGCATTAGGCAGTGAAATGGATTTTTCCCAAGCATGCAATACTGAGGTCGTCCTAATTTATACAAGTGTGCGTGACACGAGATCAATTGTTTCTTGGAGGAGGTGCCCGAGTGATGGATCTTCACCAGACATTGATTTCATTCGGATCTCATCGATGCCAGAGAATTGAAGTGGTGGCATATTAGATAACTTAATAGATTTCTTCGATGTGACGCAAAAGGTTATCCCTTCCACCTTTTGATGGTTATCGTAGAGGTTTTGCCTTTGGATCGAGAATAATTAATTTTTGGTAGTTAATCATGGAATTTCGCAAGAATTAAATTGTTATTCCCACAGACATCGTCATTGTTCTGTATAAGAACCAAAATTTGTATTGGTATATGACGTAGGACTCTAGAATCAATGATGCTAATCTTTGATACGGTTGTGTGACCTTCAAGGTTAGTACTCTAACGTCCAAGTTAATTTAGAGTACAAGATGAGTATTGTAAAATATGGATATCAGAAAACTATATATTGATCTTATGTGTGTTGACTATATATGTTGGATAATCCTGATTAGGCTTTTTATTGGGCCTTTAGCTGGCCCATAATAGATATTAAACCCCACATTCCCATTTTTTGCTAGCTTAGCTTCTGAGACTCTTTTGGATATATATTCTAAGGTGGCCTTCTTTTTAGACGACCAATTAATGATTCTCCCCTTATCTGAAAGATTTGGATTTTGTAAAGTAATTGTGTTTCTCTTTGTAGCTACTTCTAGATAAAAACCCTACTCCACGAAATATTTTAAGACAAAGGATTATTTTGGATAATGAATGGTTGAAACCACTAATTTCCTATCGAGATTGATCTTTGCATTGTTCCTTTGTTATTTTTGGTTGTTAAGCATCAAGTGTGTTTGGTTTTGCTTTTAAATTCTTTAGTTTTATTGTGTGTTTTCTCCCCCAATATCTTTTAGTTGTTTGTATATTTATTATGTGATGTTTTGGTTGTTAATACCTTTTTTTAGATGCATGTACACCTTACTTATTTGGCGATAGATCATGAAATATTATTTGGCATGAAGAATGATATAACTAGTTATGAAAGCTTATTCAAACTTGTGGAGAAAGTTAGAGCTCTCAAATTCAAAATCTGATCATGATTATCATCATAACAAGTTTTAGGAACACTTAGCATACAAGAACTGATATTATATTTCAAAATGGTAAATTGACTTTGATAGAGACATTATTCATATTAAACAATTGATATATATTGTGCCTACTTTTATCTAGGGACACATGTATTCTTCAATTCATGAGTTTACAATTATTAAAAGATTTGATATCAATTCATGGTGGAATATTTGGGGATAATTTAGGAACATTCTTCAAAGCTTTCTCAGATAAGATTTGAGTTTGCACCTCCCTTCAAGTTGAATTGAATGGAATCATGCTTACAATTGAATATACTAACAAGAGAAATTGGAGAAATCTTTGGCTTGAATCTGACTCAATATTGTCCATTCGTGCATTTTCTAATGTGGATATTATCCTTTGACATCATTTATTTAAATGAACGAATACTTTATACACTATTTGTTCCTTTATATTCAAAATATTTCACATTTTCAAAGGAAATGTTTATGCAGGTAGATTAGTCAATGCATGTATTTTTGTTGATTATGATACTTGGTGAGATTCACTTCATATTTGTGCTTTTGAAATTTTTTGAAGGATAGGTTTCACATCTCCAGCTATCGTTTAGTTGTTTGACACATTAGATTTTATGCCCCCATCATATTCATCATTTTTTATTCAATAATTTTCTATTACAAAAAATACATTAATAATAAATTATAAACACGTGGGTTTCCTTATTTTATAAGGAGGTAATTTTTTATATTTATTAAAGAAGAGATCGTTAGAGTAGACACGTCTCTAATTTGTATCCTTTCAATCTCTTTTCTTAAATCTAAAAAAGAGGTTGAGAGGAGACAAAATAAAGTAAACACGTAAATGTTTATATAATCTAGATGGTACTATTATATATAACTTATAATATTGAAACCCTAACTTATTCAAGTCATACTAGGAAACTACACCTAATTTGTTGTCACATATGTATGCACACTTGAAGAAACTTTATAAACAAATATCATGTTCATATCTCTTTGTAACTTTTGACTATGTTTGAGCAAGAATAATTCTTATACTCGTTTTTTATTTAGAGGTGGATCTATGTAGAGGCCGGAGGGAGCCATGACATCCCTCAATTTCATATGGTCGAATGGTAAATGTTAAAAAAAATTACATAAGATTAAGACTTTGTCTTATGTCTTCACTGATTTTATATATATTATTCTAAAACATTGTTTTCAGAAATAGGAACATAAAATAATCACCACTTCGACTAATAATATATGTTAACTTTTTAAAATAATATTTATCTATTTTTTAATTTTTATTACCAAAATTATCGTCAAGATCTTCATTTTTTTAGATATTATTCCTCAATTAAACAAAAATCTCTAATGACTAATATAAGTCAACTTTACCTGGCATCTATAGTTCAATTTGAATTTATTTAGCTTGGTTTGAATCTTCAACTCGACGTATCATTAGATTGGCTCTCAAATACCTACCAGAAACTCTAATTATATGTACACTTGAATAATAGGAAAAAAGTGATGCACAATGACGATTCTGTATTCCATTAAATTATGTAATATATTAAACTAATTATATAATATATTAAAATAATATATTTTTATTAGATGACAGTATAAAATATTTTTATAAAATCAAAAGATAACAATTATGTCCTTTAATAATATACTTTTCGTCGTAGTTACGCGCTGTGGATGAAATGATTCTTTTAGAGTGTATGAAATCCAAGAAGAGAGGACGTGAGTGTTTAGATGCCATGCAAACCATGACGAAATTAACAGCCTCCTCCTTGCGTGCATGGGAGGGATACCTTCCATAATTAATCAACCATTCAGTCGCCACGTCTTACGTTATCTATTTTGTATCTTTTCTAACTTTTAGCCTTATTATTACTACTTTACTACCATCCTAATTCAAACTAAAATAATACTATAGAGTTTATGTCCTTCCCATAATTACTCAATTCTCGTTTTTTATAATAGGTATTATTATACATTAATGCAAAAATATAGTGTGAAGGGTATATTTGTCAAGGCATAAGACAAATGGGTTTAACAAGGAAGTGTGTCAAAATCTCTAAAAACCTAATAAGGTTTACATGTAATTATTTAATCAAGATAAATTAATGACAGGAAGCAACCAAAAAGAATAAGGATATATAAATAGCATGCACCATCCCCCATTTTAATTAGACAGTAATAACTAGCAACAAAATGGGAAGATCCCCATGTTGTGATGAGAATGGCCTCAAGAAAGGACCTTGGACTACTGAAGAAGATCAAAAGCTTGTTGAACACATTCAACAACATGGCCATGGCAGTTGGAGAGCACTCCCTAAGCTAGCAGGTTTGTATAATACATACATCTCTCTTTATCTATTAAAAATATTCTTCATGATTATTATTTTTTCTTGAAAATTTTCAGGTCTTAATAGATGTGGAAAGAGTTGTAGACTAAGGTGGACAAATTATTTAAGGCCTGATATTAAGAGAGGAAAATTTTCTCAAGAAGAAGAACAAACAATTCTTCATCTTCATTCAATCCTTGGAAACAAGTACTTTTCATAACATAATTAACTTCTTATTTTTATTACTATTATCATTAATTTTTATTGATAATTTGATATACAATTCAACTTGTTTTAACAGATGGTCTGCAATTGCCACGCATCTACCAGGAAGAACAGATAACGAGATAAAGAACTTCTGGAACACGCATTTAAAGAAAAAGTTGATTCAAATGGGTTTTGATCCAATGACTCACCAACCAAGAACCGATCTTGTTTCCACTTTGCCATATTTACTAGCTTTGGCAAACATGACAGATCTTATGGATCATCATCAGTCATCATCATGGGATGCAATGAGTAGTTTACAAGCAGATGCAGTTCATGTTGCGAAACTCCAATGCCTTCATTATTTACTCCAATCTTCAAACATTAATAATTCATATGACCAAAATGCCATCAGCATCACAAACATGGAACACCAACAACAACAAGAACTTTTATCTAATGTGAAACAAAACATAATAATTGATGCTGATAGTACTCATGCAGCCTCATTTTCTCAACCACTCCCCCACCAAAGTATGATACCTCAACACTTTTTAGACCCACCACAAGTCTCTTTCAGTTCACAATCATGTTTGAATAACGAACAGGGTCAAAATGGTACTATTACAAACTTTGCAACAGTTGATGAAACATCATGGATTAATAATGTTCCATGTTCTGCTCCAATATCAATTATTCCTCCAGATGCTAGCAGCAGCACTTCTAGCTATGGAGGAGGAGGAGGAGGAGGACCATCTGCAACAGCTTATTGGTCGGAACTTTTTTTTGAGGACCCCATTATGCATGATTTATCTTAGAATTTCATTTGTTTAAGGTTGAATTATTGTGTGTGACTGTGTGTTATGCATTTGTCAGCTTATTGTTTTTTTTTCTTCTTTCCATTTAATTAAAGCATATAGGTCTTGTTCTAGAGTTATTTATATTAATATATGAATGTCTATTTAAGTAATATATGTTTTGTACATAACTTTGAGTAGTCTTCTAGTATCGCTTTCTTAACAGTTATTATCTATGTTAATATATAAATAAACATTATATATATAAATGTTCTTTGCTCCAAGAAATTTGTCTTAGACTGTTTAAGTATTTTGTTTGTGCATAAGTTTTGCTTCTAAAAGAATTACATGAAAAAAAAATGGGGAAACTTAGATTATACATCAAAAATGTCAAAATAGTTTCAAATTATATGATTGCAGTTATGGTTATGTCTTTGAACTTGCGGAGATCTTTAACAGCAAAGCAATCAAAATATATTAAAGATTAAAAAAATAATAATAAAAGATATAGGAATATTTGTTTTACTTTTAAAAAAATGAATTTTTTTTATATTTTCAAAAATGAATTCTATAAAACCGTTTATAAAAATATAATAAGTTTTTTTTATTTGTTTTTTCTGAATTAAAAGATTAATTTACACATCCTATAATATAAATATACATTATTTAAGTTTAAAATATATCGAAAACGTAATTTTTTTTTAAAGTTGTATTTCAAAAATGAATTTTATAAACAAACTATTTGAAATAACTTCAATCAAGAATATCAACGGGATCATAATCAAGAACATCAACAATGCACTAGAAAAACAAAAGTCGATTAAGCAAAAGCCCAAATAAAAGAAAGTTAACACAACAAATTTTTTATATATATATATATATATATATATATATATATATATATATATATATATATATATATATATATATATATATATATATATATATATATATATATATATATATATATATATATATATATATATATATATATATATATATATATATATATATATATATATATATATATATATATATATATATATATATATATATATATATATAACTCACTCACTTCAAAAACCTACACCGAGACACCAAATACGACACCTTTAGAAAATACAAACTAAGGGTGGTAAGCACGACTATTTGAAAAAACAAAATAAGACATTTAGTCACACATCACACCTCTAAAAACGAAAAGACATCATAATGGTCTCGCTCCCAATCAAACAAAGAAAAGGTTGAAATCGGAGTGTGAACTTGGACACTTCCAAGTCAAGCTAATAATCAAAGTGATCCAATAGTTAATTGTCTTTTTTTCCTCGAACAAAAATAACTCGACTACGCATTTTTCAAATAATTCAGACTATTGAGTGTCAGATCAAAACCACATTTAAATGAGACTTCTTACCCTGACCAAGACTCGAAAACCTCGAAATCCTCTAAGGTTGAGCGTGGAAGTGGGGTAGGCATACCTACTCACCTAAACACCTTGTACCAGAGCGAGAAAGCAACCATACATTAGACAAACAAGTAATCCATGTATTTCGATCACATGATCAATGCCGTCTTTGAGAGTGTAGAAGGTGAGTTAAACACTAAATTTTTAAACCATAATTAAATAGGATCACATTAATGTTTGTCACGGTTATTTTATAGTTAAATAAGGTCTTTATTTATGTTATCATGACTAAACTGCAACTAATCTTTATAAGACCTCTGAAATATTAAGACGACTCTGCACATGACCTAGACTAGTCGCACATCCCTCACCAATTGCAACATACACAATTTGACATCTAAAGTGATTATGCCTAGTCGGCAATCTACCTTGTAACATTCACAAGAAAAAACCACCACTTTAGAAGGTTTTAAACTCTTCAAAACACTAATTAACTTGAATCAGTATGTCTGATCTACCTTCTACACTAATCACCGAAAAAGAAAGTCTAACATAGACAAACCTCTCTAAAAATCCTCCCAAAAAATCTGAGATTCTTACCGATCATCCTGTCGATTCTACTTAATCACTCAATAACTATACCTTCTTTCTCCTAAATAACTAATGAGCTCTCCATCTAAATTCAAAACTATATTTAAAAGATACATGAAAGTCAATGTTATTTTAATTATTTTGTTATTTATCTAATTGTCAATACATATTTAAATTACATGAAAAAAATGTGATGACCTAAAATTTGAATCAGAAATTTTTAGTGCAAGGTTGTTTTACAAAAACAACCATGAATTTGATTTATATATTTAAGTGCATAAGAACCATGAAGGTCTACAAAATAAAAACTAAAAGTTAAGGATTGTTTCTCCAATTTATAGGACATATATAAATTCAAGCCCAGTTTATTTAAAATGATAAAATATAAATAATATAGATAATAACAAACACAATTTATAAAGTCAAACTCAAGGAAAAAAATGTCTAAGGGGTCAATCTCTTAAGTGCAGCCTACTGAACAATTCAAACAACAATTGTGCCCTGACCTATTAATGCACTGTAAATCGATCACTACTGTCCAATGTTTGTTGTAAGCACTGATTAGACAATAGCTATCCCATCCCAAGTCAATGTGGACTTCAGGTTTTATTAATATCAAGTGTCCATTTCTAAGTGGAAATTACAAGGGCCACACAAAAATCTTGACACCATTGTAGATTAGACAGAGAAATATATGGTAGTAGTTGATGAAATTTAAATATGAGTAACTAGTTACACATGGATTATAAATGAATTAATCTTTTTTTTTTTGTTGAATAAAAAAGCGTTACCTTCACAAAGACAAAATAAATAAGAAAAACTAATTTTTTTTGGGAAGGAGGTGAGAGACCTCTTATCAACAAACGTAGTAGAAGAGTCAAAACCAGAAACGGATGAAAATCCTAAAATTATTATTAAATCTATTATATATATATATATATATATATATATATATATATATATATATATATATATATATATATATATATATATATATATATATATATATATATATATATATATATATATATATATATATATATATATATAAAAGTAAGAAAGTTTCACAATAAATCAAAGCATAAGAAGTGCTAATAAGACAACAACAAAGGATAACAACAATAGCGAAAATAAAAGGAAAAATCAGCCAAAAGAAATAGAAAAGTTTGCAAGTCATTCAAAATAGAGGAAGTCACCAGAATTGACCATTGCAATGACTTCACCCAAAATAACCAAGCTAGAGCTTAAAACAATTGATCAACCATTAATTGAAAAAAGATCAACATGTAAAAAACTCAACCATTGTGCATCTTAGAAGAGATGGATCTCTAGAACAACTATTGGTTTAAGCACGTGATAACGTTCCGAAGTCAATTCGAAAAAAGTAAAGAAATCACATGTAACCTGCAAGAAAACCAAGTCCAAGCCAAAAAGATACTCTTATCTGCCACCTCTTTTTACATTTGTTGAAACACCGTTGAAAAGTTTATCACTGTGCACAAGCTAAATTGTCCAAACCATTGCATGTCAGATTATAGAAAACCCTCTAACCTTAACCCTGTCACCTAGAGAACAAAAGAGCTCAAAAGGATAACTAAGGTTCCTAGGAAGAACAAACTAGAAGCCCACCCAACTGGAAATCTTATACCAAATATTGAATGCAAGACTATAGGTAACAAACAGATGAGAAGCAGACTCAATTTGATCTTCGCACATGATACTAGAGATTTCCTTCAGATCAATTAAGACTTTCCTATTAAAAATAATTTCTCTGAACTGGAACTGATCTTGCAGAATTTTCCAAGAGAAAATATTCACCTTAGAGGGGCCCCAACTGTCCCAGATCAAAGGAATGGTTGAGAAATCCTTCTTATCCTGGGTAGCAACAGGAGGCACATAACTTAATTAGAGGTGATAAGCAGATGCGACCGAAAAATATCCTCCCTATTATGCCTCCAAATCTTTCTATCTCTCTCCTTACTAAGCCGAACATCACGAAGAATCAAGAAGAACTCAGAGACTAAAAGTTCCTCATGAATAAAAAAGGAAGTTTCAATGGTTGTGCTTCAAGTGTTCAAAGTAGGTTCGAAAGGGATTAAGGTGTCTCATTTACAGTATGTTGATGACATGATGCTGATGAGAACGCCATCTATGGATAATACTTTGACTATCAAGGTGGTGCTCAAAAGTTGTGAGCTTGCATCAAGTCTCAAAGTGAACTTTGCTAAGAGTTAATAGTTTCAAGTGAATGTGGATAGGACTTTTTTGGATTTAGCAGCAGACTTTTTTACATTTTAAGGTAGGATCCCTTCTATTTAAGTACCTTGGATTTCTAGTGGGTGTAAACCTTAAGAAGAAAGGGACTTGGGACCCTCTTGTTAATCTAGTCTCTCAGAGGATGTCTTCATGGAGAAATAGATTTGTCAGTTTAGGTGGCAAAGTGGTTTTTTTTTAATTCAGTCTTGAACTATATTCCTGTGTTCTTTTTGTCCTTCATGAAGATGTCGATTTTGGTATGGAAAAAGCTAGTTGGTTTGTGGAGGTTTCTTCTTTTGGGGCTCCAAAGGTGGAGTCAAAGTTATATGGGTTAAGTGGGAGGATGTGTGTAAATCCAAAAAGACAAGTGGTTTAGGGCTTAAGGATGTTAGACTTGATAATATGGTCTTGTTGTGTAAATTGAAATGGAGGATTCTTTCAAAATTGTCTTTTCTTTGGAGTAACATCTGTAAGGTAATGTATGGGTTTTGATTCCCCTTTGGAAGGTAGAATAGGAGGTCTGAGGATTGTGTCCCATTTGTGGAGAGGTGTTTCTCTTCTAAGGGTCCAACCAGATCAGGAGTTCAATTGGTCTGTTTCTTGTTATGTGAAAAAGGTCGGGGATGGTCAGATGACTTGATTTTTGCATGATGTCTAGGTATGGACTAATTATTTATGTTTTTTATTGGAAATGTGACTTCACACACAAGAGGGGTTAATAGTGTGTTTAAAAAAAAGTTGGTTTTGAAAAACTATTGGAATTAAAATA